CCCCCCCTTACTTTGTTGTTAGCAGCTCAATTCCCAGTACACTATGCCACCAGGGCTCCTTGGAATAGGAGAGGGAGATTCAAATAGAAAAGACAGAGCTCTTTTCCTCAAGAATTGGGGTAGTAAAACACAAGTGAAATAGATAAACTACAAATAGTTTAAGTATTCTTTGACAGACATAGGTGTTTAAAGGAAGAGTAGGACCAATAGCTATTGAGAGGATATCTCAGCTTAATCATCTCCTCCTCAGAGAACTTTGTAGTTATTCAACATAAAGACACCCCTCCCAGTCAAGTTACTTCATTGTTTCTTGTTTATTTCCACTCTCTCCACCAAAAATACCCCCCTGACAAGAATGTAAACCTCATAAAATATTTAATTAGTAACTGAGCTGGTTTTAAATGGAATGGAATTAATCTCATAGCAGGCATAGTCTTGAATATGGTTATAAAAAAGTTTTTTTAATAACTTGTAGGAGAACATTCAAGTTCAGAGCACCAAAATTACTTTTAAAGGAGAAATGAACTTGGATTTCATATTGAAGACACTTAAGTATTAATACGAGGGGGTACCCCCCTAAAAAATGAATTTTTTTTTTCAAGACTGGGTATTTAATTTCTTTTTTTTTTTACAAAATCACTTTATCACCTTTAAAATACTCCCTATTACTTACACTTAATATATTTGTTAAATCTGCGATTCCATTCTTGGAAACGGTTTTCAAACTTATCTATTTGGATGGCTGACAGCACCTCCCTCGTGTTTTTCTTCACCTCTTCTGTCTCATCAAACCGCCGTTCTTCCATGTCCCTCTTCATTTTCAGAACAGAAAGAAGTTGCACAGAGCGAGGCCAGGTGAGTAAGGTGCGTGGGGCAAAGAGGCATGCTGATTTTTTTTTTTTTTTTTTTGCCAAAAACTGGCACACTGGCTGCGTGAGCAGGTGCATTATCATGGTGGCAAAACCAGTTCCCCTCTCTGCAACAAATGAGGTCTTTTTTGTCACACATTGTTAACACAATCTTTTCAGAACCTCTAAATAGGGTGAACAAACACCAAATGCACTATCCACCTCACATCAAAAAAAGAAATGAGCATCGCACTGATATGTGATTTCATTTGATGAGC